TAGATAGATAGATAGATAGATAGATAGATAGATAGATAGATAGATAGGTAGATAGATAGATAGATAGAAAGAAACTGGGTGTGGTGGCATACACCTTTAATCCCAGCACTTGGGAGGTAGAAGCAGGCAGATCTTTGTGAGTTCAAGGACAACCTGATCTACAGAGTGAGTGCCAGGACAGCCAAAGATACACAGAGAAACCTAGTCTCAAAAAACCAAATATTAGGGCTGGAGAAATGGCTCAGAGGTTAAGAGCACTGCCTGCTCTTCCAAAGGTCCTGAGTTCAATTCCCAGCAACCACATGGTGGCTCACAACCATCTGTAATGAGGTCTGGTGCCCTCTTCTGGCCTGCAGGCATACACACAGACAGAATATTGTATACATAATAAGTAAATAAATAAAAATATTTTAAAAAAACAAATATTAAAATTAAAAATAGGGGCTGGAGAGATGACTCAGTGGTTAAGAGCATTGCCTGCTCTTCCAAAGGCCCTGAGTTCAATTCCCAGCAACCACATGGTGACTCACAACCATCTGTAATGAGATCTGATGCCCTCTTCTGGCCTGCAGACATACACACAAACAGAATGTTGTATACACAATAAATAAATAAATAAATATAAAAAATAAAAATAAAAGAAATAGAGTTTCAAATAAAGCCACGTAAATATGAAAAATACAGAAAGTCTGGATACTATATATTATTGTGTTATCTTTAAATTGTTTGATGGCTGAGGAAGGAGCAAAAGCAAAAGACATTTGATTATAAATGTTGTTGGATTAATCCAACATATATATATTGAGAATGCCTTGGCTTCAAAATTTAAGTCAAAAGGTATATTACTTTGAAGAAGAGGTTTTGCTTTTGTTGTCACAGGAAATGAGAGGCTGTGGATTCCTTCTGGGCTAAGAAAAATCAGATTTGGTCAAGGAAGATCCCCTGAGAAATCTCCAATAGGAGCAGATGGCCCAAATGTCTGAGTTCTACATTCAGAACAGCCTCAAGACTGCTGGCTGAGATGATCAAAAAATTTTTTAGGTTCCTGTAAAATTATCAGTGCCCCCAATCAGCAGAAAGTAGCCTGGAAAACTATGCCTGTATTCCCCCCAAAAAATGAATTATGGATGTTTTTCCTTGTTTGGAATGTTGATTGCAAGTTGTTATTGATAATGGTTAGAAAGAAAGCTAAACAATGAGATTGGATTCAGAGTTCTTGTTTTGAATTTTTAAAAAGGGGAGGGAAGAAGTGCTGTGGAACAATGGTCTTGTACCCTGTAAAGATTTGTTACTTGTATTTTAATAAAACACTGACTGGCCAGTAGCCAGGCAGGAGATATAGGCAGGACGACCAGAACAGGAGAATTCTGGGAAGAGAAATGGCTCATTCTGCAGTTGTTACACAGACACAGAGGAAGCAAAATGAGAATGCCTCGCTGATAAAAGGTGCCAAGCCATGTGACTAACACAGACAAGAATAATGGGTTAATGTATGATATAAAAGTTAGTTAATAAGAAAGCCTGAACTATTAGGCCAATCAGTTTATGATTAATATAGACTTCTGTGTGTTTCTTTGGGACTGTGTGGGACAGAAACCTCTGTCAACAAATATATACATATCTAACAGCTTATCCATCAGTTTTCACTTATAATAAAATTCCTACAAAGGGGTTGTTTGGTTTGTAATTTTTAAAGTTCCAGTCCAGATTAGGCAGATCTGCTGCATTGAATCTCTGATGGCAGTTGTGGGCCAGGAAGCTGCCACCTAATGACTAAAAACACAAGAATAATACTAGATGTGCCAGGGTCTCCATATCCCCTGGTAGGCCTGTCTTTAAAGGCCTAGAACTTCCCTGTAACCTCCAACTCTTAAAGGTTTTTCTACTTCCCAGTTATGTAGCCTGACTGCCAAGCCTTTCATATACAATAGTTGGAGATGAAAGTAAGCCAAGCCATAGCACCAGATGAGCACACTGAAAATGTTGAGAAATATACCTGACCCAGGAGTCATGTAGTTTCTAACATTTCCCACCATGACGAACCAGGACTCTTAAAGAAATGCATAGTTTCAGATCAGCAGCAAGCTTAGAACAGGATCAACTCAGAACCTCTTTCCTTTTTAAAAAGTAAAGAGTAGTGGGCTTGTGCCAAAAGTTTTAAAAGCCAGCTAAGTAGCCCTCCTGTGGTGATTTCAACAGCAAGAGGGAAAATAACTTCAGTTTGTTGCACATCAAATATGCCTGTCAATTCATGTGCTTAAAATGAAGCTGCAAAGCAACAAAACAGTGGTACTTACCTTTGAATGATCACAGAATCTACTTGATTATGTGTAACATAAGCAGAGGGAAGAAACTCCCTTGTTTTCTTTACTGTTTTGGTATTTCCATGCATGTGCTCAAAGATTAAAAGGATTAGAAGAATGTACACTGGTAAAAGTGATTGTTAGCATAAAAGAATGCTTAAAAGAATTGCACTTTTGCTATCTTATGGGCTTTGTTTCTTCAGTATTTGTGTGTTGTTTTAATTTTTAAAGGGAATATAACTGTGTAGTTCAAAGTTATATTTGCTTATACTGATTATTATTTTCTGATTTTTTTCTTTAGGCCTTCAAACAAACTAGAAATATGGGAAGACCTAAAGATAATAAGTAAGCCTGCATATTTTTTGTAATAGCACATCCTTAAGATATTTATAACAGGAACTTTTTTTTCTGGTTTTTTTTTTTGAGACGGGTTTTTTTTATAGCTTTGGATCCTGTCCTGGAGCTAGCTCTTGTAGACCAGGCTATCCTCAAACTCACAGAGATCTGCCTGCCTCTGCCTCCCAAGTGCTGGGATTAAAGGTGTGCACCACCACCACTCAGCAACAGGAACTTTTTATGCCATAGTGCGTACATGACTCTTCTTTTCCTACCTCATCGAATAGTCAAGTTTAAATATAAATCTTCATAAGGCAGAGAAATTAAAGTCTGTTTTTAGACTATACTAATTCTGTGATGGTGATATTAGTGTGCTTATGTTAGGTATTATATTTTTAACGTTGTATTTAAAAAAATTTCTAACCCAAGTAGTGCCAACTTTACTTTGCTATTATATGAAAAATTTCATTGGTGATAAAAATTTGAATCAAAGAACATTCCTAAAATCTTGTATCAAAACTTCATACCAGCAAGCTCTCCTGATTCTTCATTTCAGCTAATATATCTACTGATTGATGATACCACAGTCTTCACCTCTTGGAAGACAAATTCAACCTCTTGAGTTCCTGTATTTCCTTTCAACTTTTGCCCTTCCTCCCATGCCCTGGGAGCAGCTATTTCTACATTTTCTTTCTACATTTCTTCACTCCTGCTCACTCTTTGATACCGCACCCTAATTTCTGCTCTTGCTTCTACTCAAGCAGTCCTCATAGGCATCAGAAGTAATCTCTGATGCCCTAATCCACTGGGGCTATGGACTCACCACACTTCTTGGCACGGTGGACACCTGTGCTCCCTTCTCTGTCCTGAACATTGTGTTGTGCTGCTTGGGGGCAAAGTCTTCCTGTTTCCCTGTCCTCTCTGCTCCTCCAGTTCTCTGCTGGGCCTCTTTTCCTTTACCTGACACTGAGAGCAGGAGTCTTCCGTGCTCCGCCCTCCTTTAACTCTAAGCCTGCTCTGGAGTATGGGTTCTGAAGACACAGCTTAGTCAGGTCTGACTTTGCCTTGCTCCAACCCTGTGCCCATGCTCGAGATAGGTACAGGGCCTGTGAACACTAGGAACCATAGACCACCAGAGTCACATACCCAAATTTTTTTGCTTTCCTTTCCCAGCTTCTAACCTGCAATTCCTTTTACTAATAAGCATTTTTTGAACAGTACTTCGATTGAGAAATCATACCTAGGCAAGCATAATGACACCAGCCTGAAATCGTAGCAATTAGGAGGCTGAGACAAGAGGACCCTGAGTTCAAGGCCAACCAGGGCTACTTAGTAAGGTCCTGCTTAAAAAAAAAAAAAGGCTGGGGAGGAGAGTAGGGAGAGGATATAATTATTCTAAACAGGTTTAAAGAGATAAAGTTTTTTTAAATTGATCTAGTTTTATACTTGGTCCATTTACAAATGTACTTGCTAAAGTCAGCTTATTAAAAGTAGTCATAGGGTTAGGTCATGGTTTTATATTTTTGTTGGTGTTTTAGTAACAACATCAAAAGATTTCTTTCCTCTCTGAAGGTTTCACAAGAAGTATTGTAGCTGTATATAGCACATGTATGCTGGTCGTTCTTTTGCGAGTCCAGTTAAACATAATTGGTGGATATATTTACCTGGATAATGCAACAGTTGGCAAAAATGGCACTGTAAGTTTACCAGACTTGCCTTTTCTATTTCCTGACTGATTGTTGTCTTGGGAGAGCAGACTTTTTGGCACATTAAAGACTCTTTTCCTTTAAAAGCTTAGCTCGTTTAACTCTAATTCTGTTCCATGCAGACGGTTCTTGCTCCCCCAGATGTACAGCAGCAGTATTTGTCAAGTATTCAACACCTCCTCGGAGACGGTAAGATCGCAGTGGGCAGTGTGTGTGTTTGTACACTGTGTGTGTGTTTGTTGCGAGCGGTGTTAAGGGAACACGGCTCTGCTTTCCCTCCAATAGGCCTGACGGAGCTGGTCAGTGTCATCAAGCAGGCTGTACAGAGGATTTTAGGAAGGTAAGCTGCTTCTCCTTTGACTCTTCTGACTTCCCGGCTCCGGTGAGTGAACTGAGAGGGAGAGCTGGTTGTGGTGGCACAGTTCTGTCTTCCCGTCCTCAGGAGGCTGAGGCAGGGGGACTCCAGGCTCAAGGCTTTGCTGGCAGGTAGAGTTGAGGGCTGGCTGGCCTAGACAACTTAATGGCCTCTGTCTTCAAACTTAAACACAAGAAAAAAAAGTGGGGGCCGGGTGTGCTTATCTAGAGCATTTGCTTTGCATGCATGCTTGAGGTCTCGCATTCGTTTCTCAGTAGTGCAGAGTAAAGGGGGGCAGAAGATAGAACTGTCCTAGTGAATTGGGTGACTGGCCAGTTAGTGAAATCCTTTGTAATCAGATACAGGCACCAACCCTCTGTATTTGTTACAGATCTGCCTTAGCAGTGTCAGCCTCTTCATCCTGAAGAATATGGTTCAGATTTTATTGTTTATTGATTGATTTCCAAATGGATTACAGTGAGTCACTAGAGTAAGAAAAAATATTTAAAAATCTGCATACCTCCACCTTAAGCTAATAATAATGTCTGTAATTACGACAGGACTTTCCTTGTGAGATCTGTGCAAAGGCTCACTGTGGCTGTGTACTGACGGCCTCACCTGGAGGCTGGCTACCCAGTCCTTCCCAGTTCAGCAGTTCCGACTAAATGAAGCAGGGTTTCAGATGCCAGCTTATTAAGAAAGGAGCACTGTGAGGGAAGCTGTGTCCTTTTTCTTTCACTTACTCTCCTTTCTCTCTTCTAGTGTTTCTCTTAAACATTCCTTGTCCCTTTTGGACTTGGAGCAAAAACTAAAAGAAATCAGGATTCTTGTGGAGCAGCATAAGTCTCCTTCTTGGACTGATAAAGATGTATCCAGGTCCTCACTGTGCCAATACATGATGCCAGATGAAGAAACGCCATTAGCAGCTCAGGTACTTAATTCATAGCCATTTCTATATTTCCTGACTCTTACTCCATATTTTATAAATCTGTTACTTTCTCTTGAAATATAGATTTCTAAGTCTTGTATTTCAGCAATTTAAATAAAGCCTTAGTCATTAGAAAAACTATAAATCTAATTTATCATAGCACTTATAATATCAAATTTTTATCACATCATAGTTAGGTTTCAAGCACTGTGATGTATGCTATGAATCAGGAAAATACAAGTTCATTACACTTGGGAACTGAAGAGACAAGTCAGTATGGCTAGCGAGTTTGTATAGGAGCAAACAGAACCCGGAGGAAGATCATACTGGAGACAAGATCACGACAAGCTTTGTGTGTCTAGATAGAAAGACTCTGCTTCAGTTTACAGAATTAAATGTTAATGAAACGAGGGCTACATTCAAGTTTGCTTAAATTCGTAGCCTGTTTTTTTAATTGTTGTGACAGGTGTGTATCTCTCTGTCTCTGTCTCTCTCTCTCTCTCTCACACACACACACACAGAGCTATGTAACAAAGGAAAAAAGAGGTCTTGAATTTCAATGAGAACAAGGCAGGAGGGTACATGGGAGGAATTAAAAGGAGAAAAAGGGGGAAATATTGAAATTATAATCTAAAAATGTAAGAAAATAAGAGACCAGAGAGATAGCTTCACAGTGAAGAGAACTGACCTATCTTGTAAAAGATCTGAACATGGGTGGATAGCATACAAGCACTTGGAACTTCAGCTCCAGATCTGTCTTCCTTTTCTGTTCTCCTCAGGCACCTGCACATACATGCACATGAGCATGGCAGACAGACAGACAGACACACACACACACACACACACACACACACAAAATTTAAAATAAAATATTTATTTAAAAAATTGAACAGTTACTGTGGGACAGCAGACTGAAGGAATCTCTGAGCTCTCAAGCAAGAAGCAAACAAGGCCTGTTATAACACCAGCTCTGGTGTTACTATACCCTAGTGTGTGCTGGCAGATGTTATAGATACTTAGTAAGAAAGTACAAATCCCAAAGGTTTCTGGTTATACATTCAGCTTGTATAACTTATTTTTAAGTTAGTTTTCATTGTTTAAGAGTTTTCCCCTAGGGACTCTAATGGTTATCTTTTTGGGTGCTGAGAGGCTCTAGATTCAAAATTAGGCAAGGAAGGGAGGGAGGGAGAAAATGAGAGAAAAGTAATCTAGAAGGGAATCTTAGCCGGGCGGTGGTGGTACACGTCTTTAATCCCAGCACTCGGGAGGCAGAGGCAGGCAGATCTCTCTGAGTTCTAGGCCAGCCTGGTCTACAAGAGCTAGTTCCAGGACAGGCTCTAGCGCTACAGAGAAACCCTGTCTCGAAAAACCAAAATAAAAAAAAAAAAAGAAAGGGAATCTTATGAGTTGAAAGATTAAATTGAACAAAGAGGACAGGTGAGACAGAATTAATGAAAATGCCAGCCATGGTGGTACAATCAGGAGGCTGAGGCAGGAGGATCACTTGTTTTAAGATATCCAAGTTCCAGGCCAGGTTGTGCAACATAGGAAGACCTGATCTTAAACAGAAGAGAGAGTTTAATGAAAAAAAAATCAAAATATCATCAAATTGTTATAAAATAGAATCTCATTGAAATGCAACAAAAGCCTTTTAGCAGTCTACATTCATAAAACAATTTCCAAATTTTAGAACTTAACAGTGGCACAAAGTAAAAATGATGTGAAGGAATGAAAGGAATGAATGAAGAGAGGAATGATGACCCAAGTCATACTGAATTGAATTAAAACATGAAACTGTAGATAAAAGGGACACACAATAGTTTGAATAGAAGGAAAGATGGGGGAGAAAAACCTCACGCATCCTAGTAGAATTTCTCAATAGGTTAAGAAAAGAAAGAGCTTTTGTTTGGTGTGGGTTGGCCTGTGTTCCATCTGTGTGGTGTAGGTGTATGAGGCATCCATGTACAAGCATGTGTAGGCAGTGTAGATGTCTTCCTTTGTCACTGTGTACCTTACTGCCCTCACTGAACATGGAGCTTGACATTTTGGCTAGGGTAGCTGGCCAGCAAATTCTGAGATCCACTTATGCCTGTTCCTTACTGCCAGGGATATGCACTGGGGATTCACACCCAGGCCTGCAGGGCAAGGACTCTTACCCATTAAGCCAGTACCCCAGCCCTATTAGTCATTTTTTTTAAGATTTATTTATTATGTATACAGTATTCTGCCTGCATGCATTCCTGCCAGAAGAGGGCACCAGATCTCAATTCATGAATGTGAGCCATTGCCTGGTTGCTGGAAATTGAACTCAGGATCTCTAGAAGAGTCAGTGCTCTTAACCTCTGAGCCATCTCTCCAGTCTGCCCTATTAGTCTTACTATTATTTTTCTTTATCTATAGATGCTAGAAACATCCGAAACAAACCAAATAAATAAATAAAGCCTTACAAAGTATACCTCAATTTATGTTTTAAATACTACTTTCATGTTTGCATAAACCTTGCTAATTTTTTTTTTAATTTGGCAGTTTTGGTTGTTGATAAAGTAGAGACATCCAGATTTCCCAAACCCTTGAATTTTTAATGTGATTACTTCATTCATGATTTGATAGTATTTGAAACACTGATATCTAGAACTCTTATTTTACAGGCCTATGGGCTTTCTCCAAGAGATATCACCACTATTAAACTTCTCAATGAGACAAGAGACATGTTGGAAAGGTATGTAGAGTACATAGAAATGCATTTGTACTTTCGGTGCAACTAAGACCATTTTCTAATGTTCCTGATCAAATATTCAATAAATATTGCGAAAATTAAAATTTTAATCTATTCCCCTCCAATCCAGGTGGGATTGCCTGTCTAAACTGGAAGGAAGTTTACATGTGGCTTACATTTTCATGCAAGCTTGTATTGTACTTGGTTTCTATCCACCATGCCTTCTTCCTGCTCCTCTGTCACCAGTTTCCCCAACCAATAGCTTCATTTGTTCCCCTAGACAGCCTTGCTTCTTCTGTTGTGTATTATGTAAATATACAATTTATGTGTCTACATAAAATATAGGACCCACAAATGAAGAAAATGATGTACATGTCTTTCTAAAACATGATTATCTACAGGTGCATCTTTTTCCTCCAAACATTACAATGTGTTTTACATTTTCTGTATTCATTCCTCTGTTGATGAATGCCGAGGTTTGGTTGCATAACTGAGCCATCTTAAATGATGCTGCAGTAAACACCAGTGTTCAATAGTACCTCTGATGTGTTGACTTGAACCCGACTGGATAGAAACTCAGGAATGGCCTTCATAGCTGAAACACGGGCTGGGTCTGCTTTAGTGTTTGAGGACCTCCATACTGATGTCTGTAGTGGATGGATTCATTTGTGTTCTTGCCAGCTGATATTTTTTTAAGATAACATTGTACAAAATACATATTAATATGAAAAAATATGTGACAGTTGGCAAATAGTCTCATCATGTCAGGCTAAACAATACAACTGTTTGTTACACTGAGTTTGAAGAACTGAGTGGTAAATTTAGACAGTTTTTCATGCGATGAAAACCAGATTGTAACTGGAAATGTTACTGATTCTGAAAGGTAACCACATAGTTATTGAGTTTGTTTTCTTTGTCCACTGGGAATCTAAAAAGAAATATTTCTTATTTTATCTAGTCCAGATTTTAGTACAGTTTTGAATACCTGTTTAAACAGAGGGTTCAGTCGACTTCTAGACAACATGGCAGAATTTTTTCGGCCCACTGAACAGGATCTGCAACATGGTAACTCCATAAATAGGTAAGATGGTATATTAAACAATATAATATGACCAAATGCTCTTGAAATGTGATGACTTTGATATAGTTAAATTTTCGTACCAAATAAAAAGAAATCTTAAATGATAAATTATACCTTGAGTTTTCCACAAATTAAACTATTCTAAACCAGTGACTCCATTATTAACAGAAATTTCTTCTGAATTTAATAATGCTTTTCTATCTCCACACCTTTGGTACTACAGTATTTACGTTGTGAAACTTCCTTTTCATCTAGTCAAAATCCAGTTTTTAAAATTGTTTAGAATAAAAAGCTGATAATGTAGCCATTATTGGCCTATATAAATTCCTTGGTCTGATTGTGGTAATAACCAGGCATTCTTGTAGATTCTTGTCTGATGAATTGTTTCCATATAGTCATATTTAGCTTATATTTAAACAGTCATTTCCAAAAATGCTTATATATATATTCATTTTACATCATTATAGAATTGGGAATACCTAGTTGGCTCAATTATTGTAACTTGTCAATTCTGACTACTGCTACATAATGGACTTGTGTTGTTGGAATTGTGTTGTTGAAAGCTTCGTTGTGTCTGTCATTTTGATACAAGGATGCTTGTTTTCACATTAGGCCCCTCATTCTTTAGGAACCTCTGGTTTTGCATCACACTTGAAAACCAGTGCACTACTAAATCAGTGCTGATTAATTGTGAATGCACCTGCTAAAATTTAAAGAAACAGTAACTGGCATGTAACGTAGATGTGGGGTTTCTAATGGAATTCTTAGCCTAGGCCTAGCAAGGCATTTTTCTTGCCCAGTTCTCAGGGATCCTTCTTTTTTTTTTTAAGATTTATTTATTATATTTACAGTGTTCTGCCTGTATGCTGGAAGAGGGCACCAGATCTCAATACAGATGGTTGTGAGCCACCATGTGGTTGCTGGGAATTGAATTCAGTACATTCAGAAGACCAGGCAGTGCTCTTAACCTGTGAGCCATTCATTTCTTCAGGGATCCTTCTTTATTGTTCAGAGAATAATAATTTGTTATTAATGGTGCACATTTGGAGTGCTCATAGTAGTAAGGTTTACTCTTTAATCAATTTAAATCTTACCTTAAAATAAATTTCATCTGAGGACTACTCTTATATAATATCTGTAGTCAAGATACTCAAACTAATGAATTTCCAGTGTAGCCTGTACTTAGCAGGGTGCAAGTTATTTCCCAAGTTTAAAGAATTGCAATACTTGGGTCTAGAACTGTAGTAGTTCTAGGCCAGCCAGGCCTTCAAAGTAAGACCCTATCTCAAAAAAAAATCTTTATAATTGTATTAATTTGTGTGTGCATCTGTGTGTGTGTGTGTGTGTGTGTGTGTGTGTGTGTGTGTGTGTGTGTGTGTGTGTGTGGTGTGTGTGGGGGGGGTGGCATTTTCAGGAGCTGATTATTTCCTATCATGTGGGTCCTGGGAATCAAATGTGGGTTGTTAGGTTGGCAGCGGGCACCTTTTCTCATGAACAATCTCCCTGACCTTCAGTTCTTGTTCCTTGAATGGCTGTGAAGGCTAGAACTCCTATACCATGTTATACAACAGCAGTGACAGATGACGTGATGGAAATGTCTCTAAAACTGTTGAAGCATAAAGTTGGTTATTGACATGAAATAGAAAAGCATGGATGGGAAACATGAAGTATGTGCTAAGTGAGAGAACACAAGGCCGCTAAGGGGAGACTCAAAATATAGCTGAGAGGTGAAGGTCCCAATTCAGTGTAGCAGGTGCTGGTTGTACAGGAAAGGGCAGAAAATGCTGCAGGCATTCAGAAGGCTGGGTGATCAACAGCTAATGTGGCTGCAGTGCAGTTTTTATAACTGTTCAGTGTTTGAGTATGTGTGTGTAAGAGAGTATGTGCCATATGTGTGCCAGTCGTTGAGGAGGCCAGAAGAGGGCATTGGAACCCCAAGAAATAGAGTTACAAATGGCTGTGTGCTCCCTGGTGTGGGTGCTGGAAATCAACCCTGGTTCTCTGCAAGAATAGCCAGTGCTTTTAACCTCTGAGCCATCTCTCCGGCTTCCACCTTAGACAAGTCTTAAAGAAACTTAGGATTTTTCTCCTTTTCAATTGATAAGTAAGAAAAAAATTATTTCAGATCTAAAGCCTAGGAAAGCTGAATGCTCAATAACTTCTGACTGATGTCAGAATATAGAGTTTTAGTTATACTTCAAAATCATTACTAATTAGGAATACTATTAAGAATGAAAGAAGGGTTAAAGTGTTAGGAAAACTACCACAGTCAGTTATAACATAATGTTAATAAAACAAGGCTTGCGGGATGGCTCTGTGGGTAACGGCACCTGCTGCCAAGTCTGCTGACCCTAGTGCAGTCCTGTAACTCACATGGTGTGAAGAAAGAATCGCCTCCGCTGGGTTGTACCCTGACCTTCCCTTGTATACTCTCATGTACACATACACACACAAGCACATATGTACACTGAATAAATAAACTATTAATAAAAATATGTTAGCAGGACACAAATCACCTTTACTGTTGTTGAAAAGGCATAGACTAAGAAATTTTTTGCATCTTATTATAAATAAGATTTGATGCTCACCTTCCTAGATCTGGAGGGAGGGGGGAGGAACTTGAACTTCCCACAGGGTAGGAAACCCTGACTGCTCTTAGGACTGG